ATCAATCAAACCACATTTGTTTCATCTGAGAGCATTATTAGAAAACATCAAATTGCATTGAAAATGCTCAGACATCTTGAAAATTTGAAATTAGAAATTAATACTTTAAGATCACCCTTTTGATTTTAAGTAAAAAGTATAATTAAAAAAATAGACAGTAGATAAATAGAACTCTTGAGGTGCCTTTGGGCAGCGTGCGGTTACTGCTATTAACAATATTCATGAACCTTGAATAGAGAAAAGTTACTTAGATTTTTTATTAAAACTGACATGACAATACATTTTTTTATTGTTGAAGGTATATGTCAAAAATAGTGAAATATGCCAATTATTGGCACAAGTCAACATTCATACTGAGGCCCGACTTATTGGTATGAGCCTTTCACTGATTACCACATAATGATGGACACTATCCTTAAATTGTTCAAATCTTTATTCAAAGCTCAAGTGCACGGTGTTCATTCAGAGCCTCTCTCCTGCTCGCACACAGACACACACACACTAAGTGATACCAGACACACATGTGAACTCTGACTGAGTTAAACAACATAACCTGGTCTTTGTGAACAGAAATTATATACTTGTTTATTTGCATATAGGGCGGGAAGTGAGATCCCTATGAGATCCCCTCAGCATGTGGGGCCACATGTTAATGGTGTGAACGCACTGCACCCGGAGCTGGCCACTTGTGATCGGATCACAAAAAACACATGTTGATACCGGATGTGTGCTTGTACTGGTGTTCTAGATCCGACAGAAACACAGAACCGTGTGTAATGGGGGACCAAGGGTGCCCAACAACAAATGGAGCCCCTCAGCGAGGTTACTGATGACTCCGGCCGTGGTGACAAACCCTTGACGTAACGCTTTCTCCAAGTTCAACGCGCCTCAGTGAAATCTGGGACGTGAGAACTTGTTCCCAGGCGAGCGGACAGCGACTCCTCTGGATCCAAACCTCCTCTTTGAAGATCACAGCACATTTCTCACACACTCCTTCCTCCATGTGGCGCACGAGCAGCTGTTCTGCGCACAGTCACGCGGAAGTGAGCTGCGCGCGCACAGCGGAGCGGCGGAGGCCGACGCTGACCTACCGCGCATGCGCCGTGCGGATTTCGGGGATGGGTCTATCGATGGAATCAAGATGGCGTCTCTGGCAAAAGCGCCAATAAATGTACTGAAGTAGATGTTCCCAACTGACCGCGTTGGCGGCTTTTTTCAAGCCCCTCGGTGGGGTTCGTGAAAACATGACGACCGGGAGCATGCTTTGGAAGAGGAATTGACCGGGTTCGATACCGCAACAAAGTCAGCGAGATGTGCGAGAGCTATGCCCGCTCGCTGCTGCGTGTGTCGGTGGCGCAGATCTGCCAGGCTCTGGGCTGGGATGCCGTTCAGCTCACTGCGTGCGATCTGCTGTCCGATGTGCTGCATCGGTATCTCCAGCAGTTAGCCAGGGTCTGCCATCGCTACTCCGAGCTCTGTAAGTGCCGCATTTATCGCCTCCATTACTTTTGAACCTGAAGTGGTCGATCACGCTGTTGTTGACTGGGCTCCGGAGCTGGCGCCCCCTAGCAACGCTTGATGTGTCAAAAAGTACAGTAGCTACATAGCTGGGATGCTACTCTGTTTATTTTTGTGACCGTGGGGCTCTCCAGCTGTGGTGAACACACTGTGAGCAGCTCACGTCACATGCTGTAGTGACCAGCGTGCTGTGTTATCTGTAGTTGAGTCACTATCGGTGTGAAACCTGTTGAGCTTTACTTCTTGCTGTAGCTGGAATGTCAACATCAGCCTGAGCAGCTCATTGTGTGTGTGAAGTCAAACCTTTGTCCCAGGTTATCAGTGTAGTCAAGTGGTCTGATCTTTAATGGCTTGTCCTGATGCTGAATTTCAGATGGAAGAACGGATCCAGTCCTGGATGATGTGAGCCAGGCCTTCAGGCTGCTGGGCGTGAGTCTGAGTGAACTGGAGGACTATGTCCACAACCTGGAGCCCGTGGCCTTCACCCATCAAACACCACTCTTTCCTGTTAGCAAAAATAACGTCCTCCAGTTTCCCCAGCCCGGAGCCCGAGATGCGGAGGAAAGGAAGGACTACATTCCAGATCACATGCCCCCCCTGGTCTCCTTACAAGAAGGTGCGTACACAAACGGTTTACCAGTATATGCATATTTGCGTATGTGTGTTTTTCACAGGTTGAAAGTTTCTTTGTGGTGTTTATTCACTATAAAGAATACAAATGTACATTCAGTGTGCCAGTATTTGGTACATCTAGCTAATACTAATGTGGTCCTGCAATTTATCCTCCATTCATGAGGGCTTAACTACTGTTTAACATATTTTGTGGTTTATTAGTTAAGTTGAATCAAGACCTCTTTGAACTTTATAACTTACAGGAAGCCAAGTTTCTATTAAACCACATTCAAACATGCACTGTGCTCCGGACATTGTGCTTATAGACATGCACTGAACTCTGCATAATCTCCTGAAATTAGAAGAAAATGTCAGTTGCTGCCGACATTCTCCAGAGTTCCTCTGCCAGCCCCAAACTTAAGATAAAGTCTGAGCAGGAGATTTGTTTACAGCGGATTCACTGGGAGCAATTGGAGGTGTTGATGACGTTTCTCACATGCGACAAACACCGACCTGAAAAAAACAAAAAGAATACAAATACCTCAGGAGCAACAGGAGGAGCCAAACACGTAGAAGACACAAAGATATCAACTTCAACATCAGTTCATGTCTGAAAACAGCTTTAGACTGTGTTAGTTCAAGCTAGGCACCTTATAACCTGGCAACTGTGCATATGAAACCTTATCTTGGGTTGGGAGTTAATCACTTTTGCACAACCTCAAAAATAACATGGAAATATGTGGGGAAATGAGGTCCTGTGTTTGTGAGAAATCTGGTAGATTAATTGAAAATAATGCCTCACATATTTTTGTCCCTTTCCTCTCCAGAAGAGGAAGAGGAGGAGGTCCTTGCAGACATGGGCACCTCAGCCGAAGCTATGCAGGTGGCACTGGAGGAGGATGATGAGGAAATTGAAGAAGATGAGGCCGTCAATGATGAGAACTACCCTCTGAAGAGGCACCTGGACAGCCCAGATGCTGCGGTTGGCATGATGCCTACTTCCAAGAGACCACGGATGTACCCTGGCCTCAGCCCAGAATGGGGGGTTGAGCCCCGGGAGCCCCTCACGTCTCTCAATCCACAACGTGTTCCCCCAGGCATCCTGCCTTCTCATGATAGCCTTGATCCCCTGTCACCCGAAACACCCTCTGGAGCCTTGCCCCCCTTCAGACCTCAGCCGGTAGTACCGAAACACTCTGATCAAAAAGGCCTCACCACTCCAGGGAGAAAGCCTAAGGTCTCATCCCCTGGCAGACAACGGACTAAGTCCCCTAAAGGGTCGATTCCTGTTTCAGTGGGTGGTAGTCCCATCCACTCTCCAAAACCGTCTAAGGAAAGAAAGAAATCTCCGGGCAGGACGAAGAGTCCTAAAAGCCCCAAGAGCCCAAAAATGGTTTCGGTCAAAGCATCTCAACCCCCAAGCAAGACAGACGTTGTGCATAAATTACCGCTATCTGCGCTGAGTGAGAGGATGGGTAAGGAGAACATCCATATGCGTCAGAACATAGAGGACCGGGAGTTAGCCGAGGGCCCCTTTAAGAAACTAGAGCCTGATAATACAGCTATCGATGACTCAATCGATGCAGTGATTGCCAGAGCGTGTGCCGAGCGGGAGCCAGATCCTTTTGCCTTCTCATCTGGTTCTGACTCAGACAGCAATGGATCCTCTAGCCCCAGGAGACTGACCATTATGGAGCCATCGACACCTAAAGCCCTGATTGGGGCCAGCAATGCTATTACAGACACGTCAACACCACTTCACCTACAGGCACATGCAGGCCTAGGAAACTGGACAATGGATGATTCAATCAATGAAGTGATCCGAAAGGTCAACCAGGGGGGTCCGTCTGCACAGCCGCCAAACCAAGGAGTGTATGTGTCGTCTGGGTCGGCCTCGCCACCCACTCCTGAACCTCTGCTCAAGGTGTTTGAGGAGAAGAACAAGATTGTGTCATCGGTAGATGTCAAGAAAAAGCTGAAGAAGGAGCTCAAAACTAAAATGAAGAAGAAGGAGAAAGACAAGCCGAAAGACAAAGACCGGGAAAAGGATAAGGGCAAGGTAAAAGAGAAGAATAAGGATAAGAACAGGGATAAAAACAAGGAGTTTTCCAAGGAGTCCAAGACGCCCTGGAAGGAGTTTGGAGTGAAGGATGAGGAGCACTTCGTTCAGCGAGACTTTAGTCTGCCCGAGGTTTCCATCAAGGTGAAATCCAGAGATGGAGAAGTTCCCAAGAAGGAGAAGGAAAAACACAAAGACAAAAAGAAGGATAAAGAAAAAAGCAAAAAGGACAAAGACAAGAGGGAGAAGGGCAAAGACAGAAACAAGGAGGACAAACAGAAACAATCTGCTTTAGCTCCTTTTGCTCTGGGTGAAGTCTTACCATTGTTCAGCCCCTCCGCCTGCCTGCGCATCCCCACCATACTGCCTCCTCTGCCCCCGATGCTCCAAGAGAAAGATGTGAAGAGCAAAGAGAAGGACAAGAAAAAGGACAAGAAAGAGAAGAAGAAAAAGAAGGACAAGGAAAAGGATAAGGAGCGAGAGAAGGCCAAAGAAAAGGAGAGGGAGAAAGAGGAGAAGAGGAAAGAAAAGGAGAGGGAAAAGGAGAAACGAGAAAAGGAGAAGGAGAAAGAGAGGATTCGATTGGAGAAGGTAACTTTTTTATTTTATTCAGTTTATCTTTTAATCTTAGTGTTTGTGTGTCACTTAGATTGATCTTATTCTTCCTGTTTCTTCAGGTGAAAGTAGAAATTCCAGCTGCTTTACCGTCTCCAGTCATCCCCAGACTGACGCTCAGGGTGGGAGCAGGCCAGGACAAAATGTGAGCAATGAATGAATGAACGAATGTTTGATATTTCTTACATCACCTCTTCTCACCTGGTGTTCTCCTTTTACTTCTAAAAGCTGAAAGGCAGTCAGAGGAGTGTCACACCTCCCAAACCTTTTTGGTGTAGTCTGAAACAATAACGTTAATAATAAGAATAATATGGATTATTTGAGTGCCTTTCAAGCTGCTTGAGGTCGCTTTACAGCAGGAAAAAGTTAAATATGCGTATAGCATTATTGCAGTCTTATATATTTCTATTGTTATTAAAGCAGGACTGAGCACTGATCAATAACTAAAGTTGAGTTCACCACATAACTTCCTGATGTGTGATTGGGAGTCATGCAGTTTTTATGCTTAAGTTCATGCTATACAACTGACTGGCGACAGGGGTTCACACACTACACTATCTTTCACCAGTAGAAACCCCTGACTGGTCCCAAAACTACATCTAATCACTAATACACATGTGAGAAGAGACAGTGAGTCCAGTGATCCTCCTGCTCTTCTGTGTCATCCTGTGATCAGGCTGAAGAAGGTGAAACGCTTCAGTAGGCTCAGGACGGATTTTGTTGTCTGAACCTAACAACCCGAACCCGATGCAGTTAATACAAGCTACACTGAGTTTGTGTAACCTTGTCCATCACACACGTTGTTATTGCTCAATTTCTGTGATTACATACGCAGTGTGAAAAATGAGGGGAAACCTCACCACTACTTGAACCTTCACCTCGGCCCTGCCCTCTGATTGGCTAGAGCTAGGCTAAGTTGTCAGCAACTCCAACTACATTTCTAGAAGGATGGAAATCTGACCGGAGTGTGAACTGCCAGTGAGCCTGTCTATGAGCGGCTGTATATGAACAGTTCACACAAGGCGGGTTGATTACTGCTGATCTGAAGCTTTTGTCTGCAACTTGCAAAACTCATTGGTGACTGGTATATTGGCCTGAAAACCATGTCGTGTGAACTAGGCTTAAAGATGCATCAAATGTAAGATCACAACTGTGTTATTTATTTATTTTAACTTTT